ATAATCAATATTTATATTTTTAATAATAAATGGTAAGAAATAAATATGTTTAGAAGCAAATTGCAATGCAATTTTAATTTACTTTTATTTAAAAGTATTTTTGTTTGTCTACTTGATTTTAAATCTTCCCGTTGTTTGATTTTTCGTTGATCTACTTCTCTCTCGATTTCTTTTAACATTTAAAGCAGTTACAATTCCACAAAATGGTTCTGCTTCAATAAAGGGTGTTTTTAAAACAACAGAATTTAAGTAAATTTAAAACAATAGAATTTAAAAAAAGAATTTAAGTGTTTTTAAAACAACAGGAAAAGTCATGCAAGGAAAATGGATAACGTTATTCAAACAGCATTGAAAGGTCTACATTTTACCAAGTTTTTAAAAATTCATTACAAACTGTCAAATGCAGTAGTTCCAATTTTATTATTTTTTTAAGCCCTTTTCTCTATTCGGATTGCTGAATATAGGCCTCTCCTAATTCTCTCCATTCATCTCCGTTGTTTGTAAGACGTTTCCACATTGCCTCTGCAGTTCTTTTAATATCGTCGCTTCATCGCATTTGCGGTCTTCCTCGTGGTCTTTTGGCTTCATATGGCCGCCAATTCCCGATTTCTTTGTTCCATCGGCCATCCGTAAGACGTAATCCGTTTCCATTTCAGCTTAGCTGCCTGTTCGACAGCATCTTTTACTTTTGTTCTGTTACGAATGTCTTCATTGGTTTTATGGTTTTTGAGTGAGATTGTTATTCAAAATAAATATCTGAATATTCATCATCATCATCATCCAGCCTTAATTTATCATGTCCACTGCTGGACATAGACCTCCCTTAAATTCCTCCATTCTTTGGAATTTTGTACTCTTTGTTGTTAATTTTTCGTGATACGCCTGTCGTCAGCCTGTCGCCTGTGATGTCGTCAGCCAAACGTGTAGGTGGTCTTCCTCTACTACGTTTGTCTACTCTTGGCCCCCAATGTGTAATTTTACTCGTCCATCGTGAGTCATGCATTCTCGCTACATGGCCTGCCCAATACCAGTTACCCCAGATGAGTAGGATGCTTGCAAAATCTCAAAACTGATTTATCAGTCTGTCCCAACGATTCTGAGGGGGACAAAAAGCTGACTATACGGAAACCCAAAAACTCTATATGAATATTAAATCCATAAAAATGAGACAAAAGCTTTTCTGGGTAAGTTTGTCTTGATAAATCAAAAGAAATACGTCACATTTACAATACTTCTTTATTACACATAAGTATTTACTTGAATAAATTACAAATGTAAGTAAGATGAGACTTCTTCTAGATGCCGTGTTCGTATTCAAACGTTGGCCGTTATCATGTTTACAATTTCCTGAACTCTTTCGCTATCGGTATCGACTACATACGCAAAATAATTCTTCTACTGTCGAACCACACCATTGCCTAATATTATGCTGCCATGAAAGTTTCTTTCCACCAATCCATCTCTATCACTCACACACATGCGTATAACGCAGCCCCTAAAAACATGTGTGTTCCATTTGAATAGTGGGACCACAAACCAGTCTCTGTGGAGTGTTACCTATCTGCCCACCAACCTATGCCACTACCCCTCCGTATCGCAGGACATAACCAATGGGAAGTCTTATGTACTGAACGGTACTTTGAATGCCCTGAGTCCCTGAGTAATGGGACATACTCTATTTTACATTATTTGGTTACAGCCACCTGATTTTAGAGGTAGCTGTAAGGTTTTCCTCTTTAAGATTGACTAAATTTATTTGAACTCATGACTTGGGGTTTTGTGTCGCTAAAAAGTGTGTGTTCTGGACATCAAGCCTATTATAAGTCGGTGTCTTTCTGTTCGAAATGTCTGTTTTCGGTCGCTCAGCCGCCGAATTAAGAAAATAAATTTTGTTCTGCTCGCCAGCTGAGCAACTGAAGGGTCTGGTCATAAAGCCAACTTTTGTCGTACTTAACCTCGATGCTCAGAGTTCGCGATTTGGTGTTTTGATTTACCTGAAGGGTATTGATTCTGAAGGACAATTGCCTACAGGTCGTTTTTCCTGAAGAGCCATTTGGCTGAAGGGCATCTTATACGTGTGCAACTGAGAACCAGCATTGACCTGATATGTTTGTGATGTTAAAATGGCTGCTGT